GCAGCAGCAAGCCCCAAATTACCTACTCATTATTCATTAAGGTATTAATTTGGTACATGGCCGGCCTTACCAATCAAAAAGAAGATATCTGATGAATTTTGGTTTCAACTTAAATGATGCGTTACCTATTCTCATTCTGTGCCGATCAGGCAACACAATTCGGGCTGATTGAGAAACTGCTATATTGAAAGGCATCTCATTAGGTGCAAAAAAAAAAAATAACACGGCACGGTGAAGCAAGCCAAGCGTAGCACCCAGCTAATTAGGCATGCATTTATTCAAAATCGTAAAAAACACACAAAGGCAGTCCTGAGCCGGAGAGGAATGGAGACAAAGGTAATCTTGACGGGAATCACGAGTAAGTCGTCAGACATCTCGTAAGCGATTTTGACCATTATTTGCTATGCTATTCATACGCCCACTAGGTAGAAATATTAATGAACGGCGTTTGTCATATTTCATTCTAGAAGAAAAGAAAAATCTGGATGAGGGAGCACGTGTAGGTATAATGCCTTGCTAATGTGTAAGAGTAAGTCGTATGAATATGGAAATGCACGCAGCCTTCAAACACCAATCACCTATCTCAGAGGACAGCTCCCGGTTGGAAGGCAGCGGGGCAGCAGAAAAATAAGTCAACAGGTGAAGCCGATCGTTACGGCTTTTGTTATATTCCCTTTCCGTGGGCGCCATGCGCTGTGCTGGGCTGAGTGAACCAGGCAACACTGCTGCATTTTTCATGCAATGCTTTGGGGAGAGTAGGAGACGTCCCGTGCCATATACCAACAAAGCATTTTACCGAAACTGAGAGATATACACCATCTATAGCACCTTGGAAGCACCCCTATCTTCATTGAAGGTCACCTTCATCACCAAGTGCACCCCCATCTCAAAAGCAAAAGCTACGTCCCTGTGTGCCACTGTTCTGCCCGAAATAGATAGAGACATGGGACTGCACTGCACAGTGCACGCCTTCCCGCCATCCCGACAGCGAACCAGCTGGGTTCGGGCTGTCAGACATCCCCGTATAAAGCCAGTGAGGGGAGGAAGCTGCCGAAGCTCCCGGGCCGATCTTCTACGAACTGACAGCGCCGAGGGAGAGGAGCGCCGCCCGCGGGTCAGGCGGCCCCTGGGAGCGCCCGGCGCCGGTGACGCAACCCAGGAGGCCGGCTGGGGAAGGACCGCGCGGCGGCGGCGGCGCCGTGCCATCTCCCCGCCTCGAGGGATCATAACAGTTGGCGGCGGGCGCGAGACGAGCCGCGCGGTGAGCCGACCCCGGCGGCGGGACAGGCCTGCGTTACGCCTGGTTACACCACCCGAACATGGTCAATAGCCATTAGCCGGTGACCTACGGCCGCTGGCCACGCGAGGGTGGCGCTGGCGACGTTGGTGCGGAGAGGAGCTGCGCGACGTGACAGCCCGGGGTCACTCTGTGCTGGGGAGACATATATGGCGACCCTGTGCTGACTGCTGGGGAGATGAGGCTCAGTAAGAATGGGGGAGATGTTGTCTTGATTCCTGATCGGACAAACTATCTGCGCATAGGGAGACAGTAGCGGCGGAACATCTTCAATTAAGGGGGGGGGGGGACACTGCCGACTTTTGGTCCCATTCTTTCCATGCAACGCCCATAGGGCTAATGTTAAAATAGCAAAATCAAAGGGGGGCACGGTGCCCCGGTGCCCTCCCCGTTCCGCCGCCTACGTAGGGAGATGGTAATGGTATATGCGACTCCGTGCAAACAAAATATGAGAGACACAGTCAAACGAATGATAAAGCTGAGGCCTCTTGCACCAAATTACCTAGCTAGGTAGAATCGGCAAAATAGGTACCTACCTAGTAAAAACTACATACGACGGTAACTTCTCTTGCATCATTCTATAGAGTCTGTTCCACAGTAGCGGCGGAACACCTTCAATTAAGGGGGGCACTGCCGACTTTTGGTCCCATTCTTTCCATGCAACGCCCATAGGGCTAATGTTAAAAGGCCAAAATCAAAGGGCACGGTGCCCTGGTGCCCTCCCCGTTCCGCCGCCTATGCTGTTCCACATACGCGTAGGAAGTAGGAACCATGGGTGCAGTAGGTGCAGTTGCACCCACAATAATTCTCCAGTGGGTGCAGACAATGTAGATACTCTGCACCCACAATAATCTGGAGCAAAAACCCATTTTCTCATAAACACTACTTCTCAGTTCTCATGCAGCACGAGAAATTCAGGATACCTATTTCGCCTACTATCCATCTTTCGAAGCAGTTACTGCTGTGATTGATGGTCTTACTGTGCTCAAGTTAAAAAAAAAAGAAGAAACGGAAGACATGTAAGTGAACATACCTATACCGACGACCCACTGTCAAAAGTTTCAAAGCGATATGTGTTCGAAAATGGCTAAGTTAGCCCTTTTTGCAGTAGTCAATTTACAGTTGCGTGAATTGTTAATATACTTTTCGACGTAATACCAGTATAACCGGCCCCCGGTCAACAGACATGGTAGCCCAAATCTAGTCGGATATGAAAATTCTTCTAAATCCATAGACTTTAATGCTAAATTGACTATATTTGAGAGGGTTTTATGAAGATCCATGACCAGATACAGAAAAAAGCTAGATGCTATCTTGTAGATTAAATCGTATACTATCTGCGACTTTTGAACTGTTTATCAATCTGAGGTACGGAAATCGTGTTCCCAAGAGACTGAAAGTAGCCATGCTTTACATTAGACCCAATGGCAAAAATTCGGAATCTGACGAAATTGTCCATTTTTAAGACTGATTTATGAAAATTCCAGACAGGACATATAAAAACCCGAGATACTATCAGGTGGGAAATTTCATTGTCTATTACTGCTTTTTGAAGTGTTTTTCGATCTGAGACCGGCAAATCGTGTTCCCAAGAGACTGAAAGTAACCCTGTTCTACAGCAAGACAATGGCAGAATTCTAATATTTGATGGAAGATATCTTAGGTGATAATAACCTTACTACTAATTGCAATGCTTCATTGGAAAACTCAACACTGGCACTATCATCGGTCTTTGCATTGCTATTTCACAGAACAACAAGAAATAAAGTTTTGAAGCCTTTGAATATTGACTTACTTTTCATCGACGGGCTCGATCCTCATCACCACCAACAATTTTCCGGGAAGTCAGGATTTTGCAGATATTTAAGCAGAATTGCAGAGCTGTGTTAATACTACGGCACTTAAATACACATATTAAGAAAACTGTTTTTTTTTCTAGCATGAGTTAGGTCTCAGAAACAGAAACATGTCGATATATTGGGGAAAAATAAGTGCAAATGATCGCGCAAGAGATCCTTAGCTCCCTAGCAACAACCTAGCAACGTAAGGCAAAATAGTAAACAACTCCTGTTGATATCAGGTATTTATCCTTGGAAGCACACTAGACGGTCACCATACTGGGCTTCATACTGAATTTTGCATACCAGAATGGATGTTTCCAACTAAAATTATTTTTTCGCGAAATTTATCTTTGTTGCCCTACTATTTTTCGTAAAACCGAGATATACAAACTTCATGATATTAAAAATAATATTGTGATAATGAAAACCGCCATATAAAACAAGATAATTGCTGAGATCATGCCTACTAAACTTGGTCCTACCCCCTAATTCAATATACCCTGAGTATAACGCCTTTTGGGGCGAATAACGGAGCAAGCGAGAGGGTGGGCCTTGCACGTGCGAAATTGCGAGGGGTACCTCCAGCTGACTTGTGCACGGCACCCTACTAACCGGTCTCTAGCGATGTGCCAAATTTGAGCACAATCGGCTCAGCCGTTCTCGAGATCTGGAAGCGGCACCCTGCACGTGCGCACGTGCAAAATGGGCCCCAACTGACTTGTGCACGGCACCCTACTAACTGCTCCGTAACCGTGTACCAAATTTGAGCGCAATCGGCCGAGCCGTTCTCGAGATCTGGAATCGACCCCTGCACGTGCGCACGTGCAGCAGCACCCAACTCTGGCACATGGATATGCATTGCCTAGTGGGTGCCTACCTACATGCCAACTTTCAACGCAATCGGCCCAGTAGTTACCGATATATTGCAACTATTACAAAAGTGACACCTCTTCGTTTTGCACGTGGCACGTGCATAAGGGGTCACCCACATGCATCCAAGGCCCTAAAACATATGCATCGGGAATAGTCCAATACTTGGTAGAAGAAATGAAGCTACCCTACAAAAATTACCGCATGTAAATCGGTCAAGTGGTTGCTGAGATATAAGCGTCGTAGAATCGTGACCACGGCCAGCCGGCCGGCCGCTCATACTCAGAAATTTCCGTTATTCTACGTAAGACTCCGCTCGCTTCGCTCGGCCTCGCTCCGTAATAAAAGCTCGCAATGAGCCTCCGCTCGAGTGTCGCTCCCTCCCCCCCCCCCCCCACCGCTTCACCGGCCATGGTTGTCCTGCACCCATGCACCACAATGTTCCAGCCGTTTCTACGCCCATGCTGTTCCATACCAAGCTTGCGGTCGGATTTTCTTCGGCAGATCGCTCATGTAGGTACCTACTCTCGCTCATATGGCATCGGATCGCTTCTCCGCTCAAGAATTTGCGCCGTAAGTTGTATGAGCAATATATACAGAAATCACGCACTGCTTTCAGCAGGGCACTTCGGCCGCAAGCTTGGAGTTATTTATAGTCACCGTGCTTGGAGTATACCTATCCAAGATTACTTTACTACTACCTACTACCTATCTACCTAGGTAAATTTTACAACTCGCGTTTTCAGGATTGGATGTTCGGCGGCCTTGGGCAGAAAAAAGGTGCTAGAAAACGAACAAAAAGGAAAAAAATTAAAACGTATTTTCAACTTTCAGTTTCACTATAGCTTCCAATAATTATTTCGAATGCATATATATATATCTTTATTTAATGAAAAGAATGAGTAAAATTGAATTATGTGGTTGAGGTTGCCATGACAACAAAGTGGTGTATTTGGCCGCTTGCGCCGCTTGTTTCAAAACTATACCGAATTCATCCTTCGCGTGCTTCGCGTCCCTTGCTATTCATATGATAATTCTTAACTAGGGACTAGGGGGGAGGAGCCTTAACTAGGGGAGAGGTACTATTCATTTTCAATCAAACGAGCAAAAGATAAGTACAACTGGAGATGAAACGCATAATTGCGGAGCAGAAAAAGCTGGAACTGTTTCAGCTCATCCGTGATGAACGCAAGGTAAGTGCATGCTATCCAAGCTAGGAGCTAGGGTTTTTTGACGAGGCTCTTTCTAGCTCATTTATATTGCGATAATTTCGATGCATGAGTGATCTTCGCATATTTAGAGAGTAGGCATCATTTTATAAATTATAATGCACCACTTGCATCCTTTGCAACATCACGGTTGGAGCTATAAGCTTGCAACAATCCCTATGTAGGACCTAAACGTGCTTGATAATAATGTGATGATTGATGTGTACCTAGGTATTCAAGCTCTTAGCTCAGAGACAATGATACAATTCTTATATTTTTCCGGGGAGGCATTTTATTAAAAAAAGAGCGAACATGCACTTAGACATATTTATAGGTACATACTCGCCCAGGGGCGTCGCCGACGGGGGGTCGGGGGGTCGTGACCCCCCCCCCCCACTCTTGAAAACTGGGGGTGTCGACCCCCCCCCCCCACTTTTTGCGATGCTGAGTATGCTTTTTTAGCTTTTATGTCAGTGAAGCAGGCGTCAGCAACACCAACAAATACATCACATTCAGAATCGCTTCAAGAGCTCCCTAAAGCCAATGAGCCAATTACCTAAAGTTCAATTAGCTGTGGGCGGGGAACACCAGCACAACAATATTCTTAAGTAGCCACCATTCTAGTACCTTTTTACCCCTCAAAGGATTGGACGCGCCAAAACTGCCCCGAGCGTTCGTCTGATCGTTAAAAAAATGGTCGCAGTCGATTCGTCGGATCAGTACCTAACTACAAAACTACAAACTAGCCTCAGCCTCATGGCTACCGTCATAGCTGTACAGTGCACATGTAGGGGGAAAGGGAGTCAGATGAGACCGTCTCGGGCTTTCGCAAAGAAGTCGCGCAAAAAGGAGCCGATTGCAACGAAACTTCCGGTGCGCTCGAGTTAATCACCTATTTAAAAATAAATCGATATCCCTGATTCAAATAAAGATGACCTTGGTTCACTTTTTTATAACATGCTTTTAATTTAGGTATAGGATAGTTTTTGGAGCTGATTTTGAATTTAGCGCCCATCTGAACATTTGACCCTCGCCGGCACAAGGGGGGGGGGGGTTGATGCAACCCCCCCCCTAAGGTTTTTCGCTAATAACTCGCGTAAAAGCGGCGGATCGCGACGAAACTTTCAGTACCCTCGCATTGATCAATGTTACACCTACCCTAAAAATTTCATGACCCTGACCCAAATGACCTTTGACCTGTGACCTCTTTTCCGGGACCATGTTTGCCCGGATTCGCGATTCGGCGTATGTCGGCTCGCATTAGCCCCGCGTTTGCAAGCTTTTCGTGGTTTCAAACGTTCAAACATGTGATTTGATGTTGCTTCCATACATTAGGGTGGGTGTCAAGGTCACCCGAAGGTCAGGTCAGGTCATTGACCTTTGGTGACCTCGTGTGACCTCGGTTTACTTTTTCGAGTTTTACATGTTTCTATGCTAGTTTTTGGAGCTGAATTCGAATTTAGCAACCATTTGAACATTTACGAAGTAGTTTTGGTGCCTTCGTAATATGTTACGAAGCTGTCAGAGGCGGTTGACACGTATTACGAATACACGTCACAACCCCTACCGGTTGACCTGACCTGACCTGACCCGACCTGGTCTAAATGCTTAAAGACATCATCTCTGATCAAAACTAACACGATATTCGTGATCAGCACCCCGGAAAACCACATAACAGCCACACTTCAAGACTTTCTAACAGGTCCCGATATTCCCGATTTTTGGGTCATTGACCTGACCTGGAAGGTCAACCGATTACCTAGGACCTTAAAATTGGGTACCATTGGCTTCCTCTCGTGACGGGCAGCACGCTCGTTTTTTTTTCCACGAAGCTCTAGCTCCACCAGGGGCCAAACGCGAGGGGGGTCGTACCACCCCCCCCCCCCCCTCCCCTTGTGCCGTCGAAGGACTCAAAATGGCCTGTGCCGGCGAGGGTTAAAATACAGCTTTTGAGGCCAGCTGATTTTCCCACATCGATACGTAAATTGTAGCCTGGAAGCAAAATATAGAGCCAGAAGATTATCGTCATCACGAGTCCAGTTACGTTGTAGCACACACGGGAATTCATATAGGACAACCCTGAAAGACGCAGGATGGGGGGGAAGGGGGTCAGAGAATAGAGATGGACGCGGGCGGATCAGAGACGGAATCAGAACCTTCGGAGGCATTCCCCCCAAAAAAATGTTCGTCATTTTCAAAGAGTCCTCGAATATCACTTCTTCGCATGCTTCTGCGCCCGTAACATTTTTATTATGATAAATGCTACCATTACCTATAGTTTGCCATTTTTAAACTTCTCTAGGCCGAGGGAGCGACAACATTGCGTTGTCATTGGAGGAGACATTGGAGGAAAAGTTATTCCGATGCCAATAGATTCTTGAATTACAAACTCATCGACCACGTTGTGCAGTTTAACCAGTTGTGCAGTTTTTCGCCCGTATTGGTGTTTTTCCAGCCGTGAACGTATAAGGGGGGGGGGGAGGTCATCCCTTGCCGTTTCGCCCCTGATGGCCTTGATCGAGCTAGAGCTTCGCGAAAAAAACGAGCGTGTTGCCCGTGACGAGAGGAAGCCAATGATACCAAATTCTAAGGTCCTAGGTCATTGGCTGACCTTCCAGGTCAGGTCAATGACCCAAAGGTCGGGAAAATCGGGACCTGTTAGAACGTCGTAAAGTGTGGCTGCTAAGAGATTTTTCGGGTGCTGATCACGAATATCATGATAGTTTTGATCGCAGATGATGTATGCATGCATTTAGGCCAGGTCGGGTCAGGTCAGGTCAGGTCAACCAGTAGGGGTTGTGACGGGTATTCGTAATACGTGTCAACCGCCTCTGACAGCTTCGTAACATGTTACGAAGGCACCAAAACTACTTCGTAAATGTTCAAATGGTTGCTAAATTCGAATTCAGCTCCAAAAACTAGCCTAGAAACATGTAAATCTCGAAAAAGTGAACCGAGGTCACCCGAGGTCACCAAAGGTCAATGACGTGACCTGACCTTCAGGTGACCTTGACACCCATCCTACCGCATTGGGCAGCATCATATCACATGTTTGAACGCTTGAAGCCACAAAAAGACTGCAAACGCGCGGCTAATGCGGGCCGACGTACGCCGAATCGCGATTCCGGCCTAACATGGTCTCGAAAAGTATAGGTCACAGATCAAAGGTCATTTGGGTCAGGGTCATGAAATTTTCAGGATAGGTGTAAAAGTGATCAACTCGAGGGTACTGAAACTATCGTCGCGATCGGCCGCTTTTTACGCGAGTTATTTGCGAAAAACCGAGGGGAGGTCCGTTCAACTCCCCCCCCCCCCCGCTATACGGGCGAGAGTTAAGGCAAACTTTTAGTGCCGTAAAGTGGGGCTATTTGAGACAGTGGGGCTATTTGAGACAGTAAGGTAATGGTATAGTAAAATCGCTGTAAAATGAAAACCGTTTGATGTTTTTTCGTCATTTTTGCTTAGGCTAATGTGGAATTGAACAGTGAATGCTCTGAATAACCTTTTTGAAAATTTTGAAAAGTTCTGAAAGAAATTTGCAATAAAATACGAAATACAGAAAAACGCACAATTTAAGTTGCTCGAAAAGGACCCCTACCTGCAGCTTAAAAAAGTTGAAGTTTTAACAGAGCTCGCCACTGTATCTATCGTTACTACCTTTTTGCTTATAGGCTAAGCACATTTTTCATGAAAATATTATATATTGTTAACGGTACCGCCGATTGCGTAACCCATTGTCTCAGAATCCCGATGATGCCCACCTGGTCAAACCTCAACGGATATGCCAAATAGCTGATGATAGCGGTTTAGCGATGCACCCGAGAAGACTTACCGCCATCTACCTGAAGTGCATCGAACGTTCGACATAAGCAACACCGGTGAATCGGTCGTGGTCATAAACGTGCAGTGGGTTCATGGTAGGTACTTTTAGCAGCAAGCAATATTTACATGTTCGTAGTGTAACATAATAACCCTTTAGCTGGTGACCAAACTAGTTATTCTGATGAATATGTGCTTAAAATGTGCTTCATCAGTCACTGACTTATCCGACAATCAACATATGTCTACCTTGGTTGACCAAAAAACACCATTGAGTGTTACTTAACACATGAACGTATTGTTAGGTGAGCCTATCCAAGTACTTGATGTGGTAGGGTAACAGGCCAATTGATACAGCATGCAGCGATCGAGGAAAATCGGCATAAAATCAAAACAGTTTAACATTTTTCTGTTATTTCTTCGCATGGAGATGCACAAAGGAACAAACAATCATGCAGACCATTCACTCAAATGTTTTGGGAAACCTTTTGCCTTGTTTGATTCATTACAGTGTGTTTCATAAGGTAGCGAGACTGTCTCAAATAGCCCCACCGACTTTCGGTATATCTGTTTTCACGTCACCGGGGCTATATACATAAACTTACTTTCAAAATTTTACTGTCGATGACTTTGAAATAGTCCTTGATGATCATCCTGTCAGTTTGAAAGCTATGGGTCGCATCATATTATGATAGCCTTAGCATATAATGATGCAATTTTATACCCTACCGAATTGAAGTGTCCTACGAAAAAGGAAAAGATTGAATATAAAGGTCATATAACAGTCTTTGAAGAAAACAATTTTTGCCAAAATGAACAAAACTCAATTTCCAAATGCATGGCGTTTAAAAAATTATCTCTAGCGTGACCGATTTTCTTTAATTTCTTTGCAACTAAAACTGTCTCAAATAGCCCCACCCTATGGGGCTATTTGAGACAGGCTTTAACATAAAAAATAACCTTAATCATTATTACTAGCTGAACCAAAATACACCTATATGAAAGAGCTCACAAAGAACTACATTTTTGCAATTTACATGCTATAAGAAATATGAACCGTCTTAAAGGGAGAGGCCAAAAACGGTAAAATCCGTTTCAAATAGCCCCACTTTACGGTAGGGTAAGGTGCCTAATTAGCGACCCCCTTAATTTGAACCGTCATTGCTCACGCTCTGTGGGTGCCACTCTATTACTGGCTTGATTTTCGGAGAGGTCGTTCATTTTTCTATTAAAATATAGTCATTTTCTGTCCCAATGTTCACTAACTTATTTGTAGTGAGCATTTTGGCAAACCACTGCAAAAAACGCTAATAGGGAACTCTTCCCGATTAGCGACCGGGGAGGGTCGCTAATAAGTCTATGGGTTTCCCCATATTAAAAGTTGCAAAAAAATGCGACGCCTGAAAAGCTGAAATATGATCTAAAAAAAAAGGTAACCTATACGCAAAGCACTCAATCACTCGAACAGGAACGTTTATCCAACACATTTACGTAAGTAAAAACTGGTCACGTGATGCACCGAAGGCGAAAAGAAGGCGGAAACCCAAATTTTGCGGGCTATCTCGTATGATATTCGAGGTCCGCGCTGAATTCGGCACCCCTGCAGTCGGTGACGACATTTGACATCCCCTGCCACACATTCCAAGCTTCAGCAACACCTCATTTTAGTTTCTCTCTTTTCCCCTTTCTTTCCCTTCTTGAGCTATTTGCGACCATGTCAGGCGCAAATAGGAAATATGAGTTACGACACATTTTTAACCGCCATGCTGTGCACAGTTAAGCGATTTACTATGGGAAAACGGCAATCAATTGAAAAAGGAATGTCGATTCAGAATAAAAAAGGTGCATCATCCTAATGTGCATCGCTTTTCATCAGAGAGGGCCCAAACACACACGTTTTGGATAATAAACTCGTCATTTTTATTTAAACTCACCTGAAACGTCCCACCAGAAACATCGACAACCGTAAAATAATGTACTTTGATAACCAAAGTATGGCTGACCTTTTGACGCTGTTTTTGCCCCGTTTTCTCCCGCCAGTTTTTCTGTAGGGAGGTAGGTCGCAAATCGGAAAGGGTCGCTAATTAGGCACCTTACCCTATGTATTATAATTTGTTTGTTTTTCTACAAACTAAACAAATCATTTGCAATGGTGAATCTCGGGAGGCCGAGTACTTATGATGCCGGCTTTATCTGCTGGTGAATTTTGCCTGATCACCTACCCAATAGATATGGAAATAAAGCGTGTCAACGTTCTCGTTTTCCAGACGCTTTATGGAGAGTTTAAGGGCCCCAACGCCCGCTCGCGTAGGCTTCAAGAATGGGGTCGCATACGCGAGCGGGCCATTCAACTTGGCCTGATAAATGACGCAACATCGACGCGAAGCATGTTGCAGGGTGTCATAAAAAACACCCAAGACCGGACAAAAAGTGAGTAACCATTAATACCACCACTTCACAGCAATTCAGCACACTGCAGTGGCTAGCACAATAGAATTTAACCAAATAACGCACCTTATATGCAGACTTCAATTTTCTAAGGCGTTAGTTCGTAAGAAATTGGTCGATATCCCCCAAAGAGCAAATATTCACGCCGTACACTTACCTCTGCTGCAGAAAAATTCCAGCAGAAGAACCAGTCGGGTCCAGGTGCAGTGGTCTGGACCGAGCTCGACGACACCGTCATGGATTGCTTGGGTATGTTACTTTCAGCCTTCAGATGTAACGGTAGTAGTGTTGGGAATTGGGATGGCACCCCTTCTCAGATGTAACGGTATCTTAATGCATTGTCGTTGGGAGTGAGGGTGGGGAGAGTGGTATATCATGCACATGAGCTAGGAACATGAAAAACAGCACATCCATGACTAATCGGAGCTCCAGCATTCCGGACCTTTGAAAAATACGAAGATATGATACCTATCCCTCGCCAGACCTATTGGTTTTTACATACGTCCCGTCCAAAGGGGGATGCGGAGGCAGGGGGAGGGCACCATCCCAGTCCCTCGCCGTTTATCCCCTACTTAATTAGCCCGCGCCGGGCCGGTGCTCTGAGATTCCGCGCCGGGCCGGGGGGGGGGGGTGTTTGAACACCCCCCTTCTAACTCGGCTCCTGGGCCACGTAGCGACACGCGGTAAGCGGCAATCGAAAGAACGTCCAAAATAAGGACGAAAACACTTCGGTCATTTTTTGGTCAGGTCAAAGGTCAGGTCACCAGAGGTCACCAAAGGTAAACTGTTGACTATTTCAACATTTTTGAAACTGCCAACGGCTATCTCGGGAACCGATAGAGCTAAAGCGCCGCGGAAAAACGCATTCGATAGCCCTTTTACAGACCTTTCTGGATAATGTTCTCAGATTTGACCTCCGGTCAACGGTTTAGCCTCTGCAGAGGGCAAAAACTCCAAAAATAGCCGTTTTTACGAAAAGCGTTTTTTTCGGCAATATCTTTTGACTCAAAAGAGCCATGACATAACTTTTGCCAGCATCGTGTTCCTCTCGTCAAGACGCGTCGAATAAACTATAATTTGACCTTGAAAGGTCAATTTGAAAATTTAACCTCAGGTCAAGGTCATGACCTGACCGGAAAAGGTCATGTTGCATAGCAGTCGATCCGCAACGTCGAGCCGAACACATCTAAGGCGTTTTCAGCGCCCTAGCACCTCTCTATCAGAAGTTATTAGCGAAAAACTGTTAGATTCTGTTCGTGACCTGAGATGACCTCGGGGACATAAGGAGGGGTCACAGTTGCCATTTTCCGGTTCAGTGTGTCAATCTTACCTATATCTCGATGTTTGAGAGTGTCTAGAATAGCGTTCGTGCAAAACAGACGCTTTTCAATTTTCTCCCATTGACTTATAATGGAGAGGCCGCAAAATTGACCTGACCTTAGGTCACCGATATCGAAATTCCGAGATACACATTTTATAGATATTGTTGCTCTAATCAATCGCTGAAAGTTTCAAGGCAATCGATCAAGCAGTGTAGCTATGACGAGCATTCTTATTCTTTCTGAGGTGAGGTCACTTGGAGTGACCTGGTGACCTGACCTAAGGCGACCTGGGTCTGAAATTTTCACAACATGTGCGGAAAAGATGCACGAACAGGTGTGCCAAAAACTGCGAAAAACCGCAGGGGGGGGGGGTGTTTAAACACCCCCCCCCCCCGGCCCGGCGCGGGTTAAGGTAGTGCTGCGGGAAAAACGAGCGTGCGCGCCGTTGCAAGACGCATCGAGTGGTTCCCGATTTTAAAGAAAATATTCCATTTTTACCACGGGATTATGAGCAGATGAAAGAACAGTTTTGTAACCTGAGCTGGGACTATAGTGCAAAACAGGGGCTTTTACTGTTTACAATCACCATAGACAAAGATATTCCATTTTTCGCTCCGAAATAATTTTCCTTATGCAAGCATTGGTGCACGCGTATAATAAGCTTCCGCGAAAAACACTATATAACTATTCAGCCTCTACCAAAGATGGAATGTCGTCCTTCCTATCACAAAATATTTCAAAATTATTGTTGCAAAAATGCTGTGTGTTCTTTATCAGGCATAAGAACAATTCATTAAACTGTAATAAAATAAACTGATTGGGTAGATAAATTATTTTTAGAATATCGGGTTTTGGGCTTAAACAAAAGATCAGACATGTCCGAGTTCAAAGGCCAGTTTTACCAACTGAAAAATAGCCGCCTGCCGGAATTTTTGCGTAAAGACCGCTTCACATATGCGGAGTGTAAACGCGATGGGCACGTAAGCGGATAGGGCTTAACCTTTTACGCTCCGTATGTCGGTAAAGCCCTATCCGCTTACGTGCCCATGGCGTTTACACTCCGTATATGTGAAGCAGTCTTTAGGCAAAAAAAAGTCCGGCAAGCGGCCATTTTTCTGTTGGTAAAACTGGCCTCAGCTCTTTTTCTCCTGTGTTAGGAGCTATCGCGACAAAAAAAAAAAAAAAAAAAAACTGTGGGATGGCACCCCTTCTCAGACCAGCAAGAGATAAACATCGTAACGGTGAGACGAAAGGGCGCCGAGATGAGAGATCCACTGTCTCTTACATCCCATTCCCGTTGTTTTCACTCCGGCAGGCAGAGACAACTACCTGACGTCGTTTGAAGTTCCTGGCGGGATTACCTGGGGCCAGCTGACGACGAATCAGCAAGAAGCCGTCCCAGAAACCGCACTAACAACCGCGGTAGAAACGTCACCAGCGCCCAGTATCTACTTCACTGCTGAAGACGTCCGGGTGATAGGGCTGGGCACGCCGCTCGCCCAGGCTCCGGCGACCAATGCGGCCCCGTTAACCAGCACGGTCCCCTCGACCAGCGCAGGCCCGTCAAACGCAACGGTCCCTTCGGCTGGTCCGTCCCAGGGGAGCGCCACGGCTCTCTCGACCGGCGAGGCCTCGTCAGCTGACGCGGCCCTCTCGACTGGTGCGGCCCAGGCATCGGAGAGAAACCGCGATGAGATTGAAGCTCGCCTTCAGCTCATACGCTCAACGCCGCTCTTCAGACGGACGCCGGAGGAGGTCACGCTGCTCCGCACCTACCTCAGCTTACAGATCCTGGAGGACATGCTGCAGGAAGGAACTCCCAGAGCAACCCTGGCTTATGTGCTATGAGCAGGGGTGCGGAGCCGCAGCCGGAGCTGGAGCCGGAGCCGCCGGAGCCGGCACATTTTGCCCGGAGCCGGAGCCGTGAAACAATACAGCCTGTAGACGGAGGCGGAGCCGGAGCTGTCAAAGATGGTGGCGACTCCGGCTCATTTTTTTTTTAGGAATAAATTAACTTACTTAGATCGATTTGACAGTACTAGGCAATAAAATATGTTATACGTACGTCATGGGTCATCACGTGAATGAAAGAAGCTGAATACGTATCCCCAGTGTCCCACAGTACGCAACCAAGCTTGTCTGCTCCTCCCTCCCCACGTCTGCAGCTCTGCCGCCCCGTCAGCTGGCTCCTGCACCACTCCGTCATCTTGCCTCAGTGCTCCGAGCCATTCACCAAAGTCACCGACCTTGATACACATATTGTGTAGGATAAAGCACGTGTGGATAACCGCCACGCAGTGGGCCACACTTTTCAGGCGCAGTCCGAACTCGAGCGCACCGAACCGCATTTTCAACACACCGAAAGCGTTCTCCACCACCACACGAGTGCGCGCATGAGCGGTGTTATAAGCGCGCTCCTCGGCGGTGGTAGAGTCCGCAATGGGCGTCATGAGCCAGGGTGACAGGCCATAGCCACTGCCACCCAGCATTATGCCGCCCAGTACGGGATTCCCATTGCGAAAATACTCGGGCAGCCTCGATGCAGCCAGTACTCGAGCGTCGTGCACCCGACCGCCACAATGTACGCTCAATGCAACGATTGAGCGGTCGGGTGCGGCGACGGCCATCACATTCAGGGACGGGAAGCTATTAATATACGCCTCCCGCTGCTCTCTGGGGTCGGTGAGGCGTATATGGGTGCCGTCGAAGCACCTCATGTCAGGCAGTCCGGCGACCTGTCGAAAGTCCTCCTTGAGGCGTCCGAGAGCCGCCGGGTCGCTCGGCCAGGTGATGGCCCCTGGGCAGCGGTGTATTAGCGCATCCGTCACGTGGTGAATGGCGCAGCACACGCACACGAGACGCCGTGGCCGTCTCCCACCAGGCGCAGATACGCAGACCTGATACGTGATCAGTCGAATCTAGAAAGAATGTAGTTATATATCAACACTGACACAGACTTAGATAAAAAAGATGGCATGGCCATTGGCCATGGTCACATCAGTAGAGGAGACAGACGAAGCGGAAAATTGACCCGGCGGCCACCCACCTAACGGTATCCGGCGTGAAACTGACGTAACGGCCCTCAGTTGAGACGTATTCGGTGTCCCGCGCGCGTTGTACGACGGCAAACAATGGGTGGTGCACGACTCAAAACTGTAGGTATTATCTCTTTGCTAGTCGCTGTTTTGCCGATGAGTGTCAGATAAAATTGTTTATCTGTTGCCTAACCACATCGCCAGTTACGTCAGTCATTTTCACACCGTTGCAAGGAACCTGCAAACACTCAAGTAGTAAGCATGACGCGGCCAAATCCGAGGCACGCGGGTGTGAACAAAGTTATCTATGAGGCATAAGCTCAATATCATCGCAGCCAAGCATTTCTAGGCTGGCTTTGCTCAGTTATCTTCAAAAGATCAAATAAGCAGCCCGACAGTCACCCAGCTGAGGTAGGTATGTGGTATTTTGTATCCCTCGCCAGTGCATCGCTCAAAAATAAAGATCACTGTAAAAAGTATCGAATAATAGAGGCATAACTAGGCGAGACTCCGATCGCTGAGCGGACACTTGCACTGTGTGAGTTAGACGTTGACGATCGGGTTATAGTCGCTGTGACACGTATTATGGCTTCTGGTCATGGGAAATGGCATGCAAGCTGTGACCTCAAATGATTCCGACAAGCATGGGTGGGCCGAATAGTGTGATCGAATATACGACAGTCGGCTCAAAGGGCCAGGTCCCATCTCCAGTCGACCTAAAGGTCCCATGGTCCCTCCGCCAGTCTGTTCCAAGGGAGCGCGAGTTCCACCGCCACTTGGTCCCTCCAAGGGCTCCTATCCCCACCGTCAGTCGCCTCCGGGGGCTCAGAGTCCCACTGTCCCTCCCGCCCGTCAGTCTCCGGCCGCGCCCGCGGGCGGCGGCCCTATCATTAGGTGACATGCACAAACGCCGGGCGATTGGCGCCAGTGGCCTTGCATTATAGCTGCCTGTAAGCAGTCGTTGTTCAGGGACCATATCGCAAGTAGATTGGCAGCCTATTTTCGGGCATGGTTTGTGGTGGGAACCGGAGCTAGACCGCTAGTCATCTCAGGAACAGCAGAATGTTGCTGGCAAATTACCGCGACACTTGTGATGAATGCTGAAATAAGTCGCACTGTTACTGTTCCTAAATAAGTGACTGTCACAAATGTCACTCACAGTGTGAGCTGAATGGAAACTAACTACCTGGCATACAGTCGGCAGCGCTGTCTGGTGAGCTGTTAGTTTGTCCGGTATTGTATTGGGACATGCATGCATGATTCATATAGCAGTTTGCTTTTAGCGAGCGAGAATAGATATGAAATGCACAACATGTAGGTATTGTAGGTAATTCATGGGAGTTGTTAGTTGACGCTTGCAGCAATTATTTACAGGGCAACTAAACTTAGCTTGAGTATCATTTATCACTCGAACCAAACGAAGGTGAAAGGTCCAACAGTCCAGCTACAGATTCGCTTCCGACACAACAATTTATGTCGTCATTTATCACAGGCCGAAACAACTGGCACTAAACGGCTCCTCCGGCAATGCAATCCCGAATGGCGCAGTTGACCGACCCTCCCCGGAAGTGATTATCTCGTTTGTTCACCGTATACGTCACATCGCGTCGGCGCGGTGTGGAAGGCGCAGTGCTGGAACTGTGCGGCCCCGCCGCTGCAGAACACGGGAGTCCGTGAGCGGGCGAGACTGCCACGGCTCCGTTATAACCGAAGGCTGTTTGAAACAGACAAACGCTTTTCGTTGGATATGTGGGCATACTGCTCCGCTCGCTGCTGAGCGGACCGTTCCCCCTAGATTGGTTGCACAATGCACATGGCACGGCTGCCCTCAGAGGTCACAGAAACGACAGTGAACAAAAACGGACCGACGGCCGAAGGAAAACAGCTGCGAGCCCGCCGGTCATGAAAACGGCGTGACCCTCTTGAATGTCGCCGACCGAGGCGTGCTGATTTGCTGTGCAGACTGATAATAGCAGCCATGTGACCCTGTGGTTTCGTGATATGGTACGACCCTGAGCACAGCTTCTACAATGGGATATATCCAACACTAGCATGCAACAAACAGATAAATTGGTATTTCCCAAGAGGAAGTGAACAATGGCAATGAAAGTTGGCGCTATAAATAAAGGAAGTTAAATAATGGTATCCATGCGTGAACTTTCTTAATTGCATCCGTTCAAATCTCAGTGAACTCCATACTGAAGCAGCTAAATCCATAAAAACGTACATATTCCCCAGATTTTTTAATAAACCGAAATGGCAGCCTTTCAGACACTATCTAAATATCAGCGCATTGGAGGCCCGCACACCAGAGAAGCGTCCCTCTCCGGATCGCCGTCCTCTCGCCACTGCGATCTGTTAGTTTCACCCGTCCCGGTGACGCCACAGACAGGACAGCCTGTCATTGTTTCAAGTCGCTCAACTGGACCGGAACAGTTGCGGGTCCGGTGACGGCGCGCAGAGCACAGCTGGATGCAGCCTGAGTCTCGGCTTTCTCTGTCGCCACCCGCTCGCGACAGTTGGCAGAAACCCGCGAATCGGACATCGGACACACGGTACAGCGTCCGAATCTCCCGGGTATCTGCCAAACATATCGCGCTAAACGGTCTATTGTCATCAGCGGTGAGTTAGGGACCGACACACGGCGTCGTTTTCTACCTCCAGTCCTCCAGAAAATTCCCATGACAAATCGTTTAGCCTCAAATTGATGGAGATTGGACATGGGTCGGCGACAACGATCCGGCGCCGGGCTACCCACGACCTCGGTGGGCCCCGCCGTGACGGGCGCATTGTCACGGGACCGGCAGGCGGGCTTCACGGACCAGCGACAGTAGACCAGCGGCGATCAGCGGGTTAGTGGCGATGGTCAGAGGGTCGACCGGCCGGGTCATTACACACAGGTCGGGAATGTGGTCCGCCTCTGGCACCGTCCGGTCACCAGTCTGCCGGCCTTTTTACCGCCCGCCGCATCCTTTCACTACCGCCGACGGCGCTCTGCCGCGGACCCGCCACCGGACGAGCCCTCCTAAAAGACACTAATGCGTCACGCAAAGCGGACGTCCCGGGGAATAATCCAGTTCGGGTCACGCAAGGTGAGCAATGAGCATTTACTATTTAGTCTAAGACATTGAGACTGAGAGTGGCAGAGAGGTCGGCTCCAGTTGACGGAACGTCATACCTAATGCCGTCCGCTGGATAGGCTTTCTGACGGGCAGGTGGTGCATCCAACCAGTTCTGAGCTTGGCTTTTTGCCTCACCTTTGGCCCAGCACCGTTTGTTCGCGTGCTTTGCGCAGAGATAAGCGGCGGCTAGCAACCCAGACCAGCCTTCATCCTGGCCGCTCTCTGCTCAGCACTCGCTGGACTGTCGTTGTAAAAATCAAAGCGCTTTCGGAAGCAGAGCACACCGAGACGGGGACGAGTGCGCATCCCTGGTGCACTCCTCAGATTACTGAGGGGCTGGCCGTCAGCGACGCCCTCTGGCCTCCTCTCATCCCCCTTATTACCTCCACCACCAGAAGATATAGATATTAGGTACTGCAGAATTTGAGAACGGGTTACCGCTTGTAATTGGCCAGTTGCTGTGTAATACGGGAGGGATCAAACCACCGCACATATATATATAGGGGAAGTTGGGGCAATGCCGGAGTTGGGGCAACGCCGAAATTCGAGATATTTCGAAAACCGTAAGACATGGATGCCACCTGTCAGTGATGCTCTGAAGCTTAAGTGACTACAATTATCGCATGTTTGTTACAAGTCGTCATTCGGAATACTTCGGCTGTGAGGGCGCCAAGAGCGTTTTCAAGGTATGCGTTCCTTGTACTACATGCGCCTTTGAAGCTGCATTTCTTACTCACCAGTATAGCGCCTTTTGGGGCGACTAACGGAGCGAGCGAGGGGGTGAGTCTTGCACGTGCGAAATTTCGAGGGGGTACCTCCAACTGACTTGTGCACGGCACCCTACTGACCGGTTTCTAGCGATGTGCCAAATTTGAGCACAATCGGCCCAGCCGTTCTCGAGATCTGGGAGCGGCACCCTGCACGTGCGCACGTGCAAAATGGGTCCCAACTGACTTGTACACGGCACCCTACTAACCATGG